GGGGGGGGAAGAGAACCTAGTCAATATTAGGCAGGTGGTCATAATGTCATGGCTGATCAGTGTATTTACCACTCATTTTTTGTGCATTAGCACAAACCCCACTTGGCACTTCATTAATCCTGTACTGTCCCATTTAACCTCATTGTCCTATATAACCTAAGGACTTATCTTTGATAAAGGACACTTATCACTATTGTACACATTGAAGGCTGAATATATGCAGTAAAAGCATTTATTATTTATCGAAGCTCCCTGTTCGGTATCCACCCATTCTTTTGTTTTTCAGTAATCCAATTTGTAGCTCAGAGTCTCTCTCCTCCACATAGCACAGAATTAATTTCATTCATTCAATATGATCCATTATGGCTTCATGATGTACAATGCAACCAAATTAGTTCCTATTAAAATGATAGGATTGTCATCTCTTGATTATATTGTAAAGCACTGCGCAAACTGTTGCCGCTATATAAATCCTGTATAATAATATGCATACATACAGTATACTTCTGTTCTTTACTTAGCCTAGGGTTCCACCTTAACTACGGCTGCACGTTGGTGAAATTGTAAGGGATCAACAAGACTTCATTACCATGGGGAGGAAATTAACCTACTGAACAAGGTGCATATTACCACCACCACCTCCTCACACACACACACACACACACACACACACACACACACACTATATCGGGTTAATAAAAAACATTTGACATGACATTTTGTATAGCACAATGCAGCATTGATTTCCTTCTATCTCCCGTCTGAGACTTCAGTAGGCTTACTGAAAAAGAACAAACTGCATAATTTTATGAAAGTGAATATCTTCTAAAAGGTATGAGGATGCTCCTATAAAGATTTTGCACCAGCGCTGCACATCTTATTCTTAATATGGTAATCATGAAGGCATTTTTAGAACAGGTGTAGGATGTGACGCAAGCTGCAATACTCTGCCATATACATGCCTCTGTATGAAAAATCAATGGCCCCTTTCAATAAAAAGCAACTAAATACTTGAAGTCGGGTTATAGCTGGCCGTACAGTTGTAT